AAGCAAGGACGGGGCCCGTGGGGAGGAACGCAAAGGGGAGTGAAAAGAGGGGCTGGAAGAAAATAGGAAGTGCTGCCATCTCTGCTTGCTGCTATTGCTCCATAAAGCCGTGGAGAAATATGGCTCCCTTATTTATTTCTGTGGAGAAATAGCCCCGTGACACTGAGGAGTGAAGGTACCACACCGTTTGTGGATTTTTTTTTTCCCCATTTTTATTTACTTGTCCTCCAACCCTGCTGCCTCCCTGGAAAGTCCCCGCCTCGCTGGCAGCCCGGCGCGTGGCGGAGCACATCGTCGCACGGCAGCCGAGCATCGCGTCTGCAGGCCGCAGTGCTCTATTTCCCGGTGTCACGCGTTATTTTTCAGTGCCCTAAGCCGGCGGGGCTGTGCGGAGCCGTTAAACCCGCGGCTCTGCTGGAAATAATCGTTGTTACGTGCTCGTTGACGTGGTTCCTGTGAAGCACCTCATCTTCTCTAAGGATGTAAAAATACTGGCCGCGGAGGCTGTCTGTGATCTGGGCGAAGGGTTTTATATAAGCACACGCCCTGTATCTGCCGTAGCCTGAAATACAGGTGCCCTGTGTGCGCGCAACTAGCCCCCTTCCAACAAACTCAGCAAAATCCCTGTGATTTGTACCTCAAAAATTCTTCTCACCACCTTAAAAGGCAGCTCGTCCTTAAGTGAGCCAGGATGGTACTTGCCTGTCTGCCTTGCTTCCCTATTCGTCTGTTTTTTGCTGCACAGGAATGGTTCTGGCATTTTTTTTTCCTTCCCCCTTCGTTTTGTTTATTTATTTATCTTCTTCTGGGCAGCAACAGAAATCAGGACAGCCAGCAGAGGAGGAGGCAGAGAGCTATTTCAGGGAGCTGCTGTTATCTGTGCTGTGTTAATCCTCTGGCAGGGTTGCGGGGGGGAAGCTTTTCCTGAGTGCTGCACTGGGAGGCATGCATTAAACCTTGGAAAGCAAAGGGAGGAAGACGAGGATTAGCGGGAGAGAGAGGACGCAAGCTCCTGGTTTTGCAGAGCCCATCTGCTCTGCTTTTATGGATGCAACGGAGTGAGCAATCTCACTTGTGGGTTTTGGGATTTTTGGAGGGGAGGGGGGTTGTTTTTCCTGCTTCCTTTCCCCACCCCTTCCTCACTCCTCTGTGCATCGAGGTCCCTTTGCGTCAGCGTTGTCCAGGAGTCCCTCATTCCCCTTCCTACCCGTTCCGCTTCCTTCCGTAGCTGAGCTGGTGGGATGATGGAGCTGAGGACGGTGGTAGCCACGGTGGAAAGCGGCGAGCAAGACACGGTTCTCAAGGTGCTTCAGGTCTACAACCAAGAGGTGAGTGAGCATCAAACCTCTGCTTGACGTCAGCTGCTTCTGTTTACGAGCCGGGGAGCAGGTTGGCCGTGTTGTGGGATTTCTGTGCCACCCGCCTGTCCCTCTGTCTCCTCTAAACGCGTCTGTCTCTGCGTTACTGTCATAGAAATGTTACAGACTGCTTCATTTTTTGCTTGCAGGCAGCTGCATGCTTGCTGTTTTTTTTTAGGGAGCAGCTAAGGGATGTCTCTACCTTGTTTCCTTGCTGTACTGGAATTAAAGAACATAAACGGCATTTTTTTATCATCCAGAGTCCAAGTAAACATGGTAGGAAAGTAGACATCAACATGAATATCAAATAGGAGTTTTCATATCAAAGTGAGATTTGGAGGGAGCAGCATTGAGGCCTAGGGAGGAGCTGCAGGTGAAACAGCTACTGTGATTTGCAAGTAAAAGATCACTGGAGATGGACACGGATGGAGTGCTGGGATTAGGCACAGCTGCTTGATCCGAAAGCTAACAATAAGGGCAAAAATGAGTGGGGTATGAAAAGACTGGCTAGGAAGCAAAAACGGAAGTATTTGTAGCCTTAAAGAAGCACAGATGATCCGTGAGGGTAGTTCCCTTCTGAGATAGACTCCAACTGTCAGGGAGATTTCTTTCAGAGGATTTCCACCAGTGTGGGGCTGGCCTGCAGATCTACGTGACTCATTCTGCACCATTCTTGAGTAGGTGGGATGTGAGCAGGGAAAGGCTGTGAAGAGTGTGCAAGGGGAAAATGTGCACCTCTTGCCAGCGGTCACTTGTGAAATACAGAAAATGTGGGCTGAGAAGCAGTGGATTCCCCAGTGGAAAGACAGTTGGCAGGATTACCATCACCTACAGAGGATGCGATGCCAAAGGGATTGTGAGAGCAAAGGGGGAGTCTGTGTAACCAGCTCGAGGTGTCAAACCAAGACGACCTTGGTAGAATTCCTCCAGCTGGATCCTTGTCACTACATCAAGCGTGGGAAGCTCGTGAGAACGTCAGCGGTTTTGCTAGTCAGTCTGGAAGGAATGGAGTGATCAAGGGGCATGCGAACTTGCAAATAAAGTAAACGGCAGCTCTGCAAAAACCCACAAAGGAACCCACAAGGAACCCACAAAGAGGCTGAAGCTGCCCGGGGATCTTGGTGATGGGGCACAGTGGATCTGTAGGCCATAGCATCTCCTGACAAGTAGCCAGGAGCTGGCTGTGCATGAAAACATCGGTGAAAACATCTGTGCAAAGGAGATGCATGTTCTTTGTGTGCCTGGCTGACGGGAGAGCTGTGTGAGACAGCAGAGGTGTCACCTCCAGGTGAAGGTGTTTACCTGCCCACGGTGCAGCCGAAGCTGACGAGAGGGCTCTGTGCACGTTCTGCGGCGCGTTCAAGCGCAGTTCGACTGCGGTGCGAAGGAATGCGAGGCACCAAAGCACACCCTGCGAGAGCCCACGTGGAGAAGGGTGTTTGCCTGTATTCATCAGCTGGGTTTGAAGAGCAGGTTGGGGTTGAATAACACTTGCATTTCCAGGCACCACAGAAATGAAGAACACAAAGGATCTGTTTGCAGATAATAAGGCAGTACTTTCAGGGAGGGAAAGAAGAATAAATGTTAAGAGAAAAAATGTGTTGGCAAAGCTCGGGATGTGCTGAGGTGGCACTGAGCAGAAGGAATTAAAATGTTACACTGATTTACAATGCTACACTGTGGATTGTGATGGGTATCTGCTCAGCTCCTGCAGTATTTAAAAAGAAGTCAGTCGGACAGGCACCGTTTTGGCCTTCACCACCGAGCCAGCAGGGACGTGCAGGAGGTAACGTTCATCACAAGTGCTTTTCAGAGGTGAGGGAGGGTCAGTGGCCTCCAGAATAATGGGCCTGCAGTTCTGCAGCCTTCTAACCTGTCGCTTGAACTTTGTTCTTTCTCCTCTGCCCCACAGAAATCTCAGTGCTTCACCTTTGATGATGAGGAGCGGGAGGAGAGGAAGGTAAGCATGCTCTTTGGTTTCCTCCTCTAGCTGGGTGCAGAGAGCTGCTGCTGCTCTGTACTTGGGTGCAGCAGGATTTTGTGGTGACAAATTCCAGAGGGAAAGGGATCAGGGCTTTTTTTCTCCACAGATTTGAGGACATACTTGGTCAGGGGATGATGTGCACAAAGCACCTGGCTTCAGCTTCCCAGCAGTAGATGATGTTTTAGGCTAAAAGTCAGCATCTTCCCCTCCTTAGGGACTCCTCTGGGTTCAGTGGGGCACTTCTCTTGTGCCAGGGCAGACCTGTCTACCTTGTGAAATCACATCTGATGCTCGGTTCTTCTGGATGTTTAGCCCTGGGCGCGTGCTCTAAAATCTCAACCTGACTCAGTCAGAGGCAGTGGTTGCTCATTCAGGTCTGACAGTAAAATACTTGTTTCCCTCTGCCCAGAAAATGGCCCAGCTGCTCATCAAGTTCTTGGAAAGAGAGCTACAGCCATCCTGCCAGGTCACATGTTTGGAAAGCATCCGTAT